TGCCACGAAATCTGCACTTCAAGGTCCACAAAAAGTCCTGCGCCTGCGACGAAATCTGTGCACCAAGGCCCACAAAGTCCTGCACCTGCCACCAACTCTGCACTTCCACATCGACAAAGTCCTGCACCTGCCACGGAATGTGCATTGCAAGGTCCACAAGTACTGCACCTGCCACGAAACACGAAAATCAAAAAATAATCCCAAAAAAAGAAACAAAATTCCAAAATTAAGTCGCGGCCCATATTATATATATGGTTTCCCAGCCACATTTGCAAGGCGGCATTGGTTCTGGTGCGTTGAGAAGGTATGACTCGGTACGGTCATTCCTGTGCAGAAGAATTTAATCTTGAATCCGGCTCATTCTTCTTTTCTAAAACTACTTTGTATCTAGCAAAAAGAGCTAGTTTGTTTTTTTACACATATTTTTGTTTTGGATATTGAAGATTAACGATGCCTAGAAAAAGTTTTTCCAGCAATCTTCAATCCAGGTCCAAAAAAAACTATTTTTTCTATGCATATGTGTGTATACATATATATGGTACCGACTCGCACATCTGACACTAATGTATCAAAAACACATGAAAAGGGTAGATCTTGGGGGGACACAGCATATATATATATATACATACATATTATATCAATATATGGATATAATATTCTGCTATTGTTTTTGGGATTTTTTGTACCCGCCCAACACCAGAACACACAGCTTTAAGCATTCTGCAACTGACATGCAGGTCGGTGGTGATGTGACTGAGCATTCCCAAGCTTCGAGATCAGCTCTTTTCAATGCCTTAGTGGAGGCCAAGGGCTGGACAAACCCTGCTGTACGCGAACAAAGTTGTCTCCGTTAAAGCATGCCAGCCAGACATGTAAAGCAGGTTTGCGCCGAGTCGTACACACACATATCTGTTAATTTACACATACAATTGCGTACACATGCGCATCAAGTTGTGGCCAGGTCACTCTGCGACCAGTAGGGGCTGCGATCGTCGAGAAGCCTGTCACCAAAAAGAAGGCCGCTTGTTGGGACGCAGTGTCCTCAACAAGCGTAGCGTGAACCACTGCCTCAATTTTGACTGCTGGCGTCAGGTACCTCACACAATGACAGTTGCGGAACTGAAAAGATTGGCCCACCTTCTCTTCAAGCAGGCCAATCGCTCACTCTGTCTCCCCCGTCGTCCCCCCGCACCCAAAGAGAGTGGTCACTTTGGTACCTGAGGTTCCGTTGGATCGCCTAACGTTGACTTTAGCAGATGATGGTTTGCCCTTTGGGGTCGCCGCCTTGATCGTGAAACTTACCAACTATAAGTCGCAGATGTCGTGAACCAGTCCTGTTTCAGGTGCCGTTGGATGATGAAGTCCGAGAACTGGGTTTCTTTGGTACTGCTGACGGGTTTTTGGACAAGTTCCCCTTGTCACTCCTTCCCTACCTGCACCCCAAGCAAGTTCAGAGAGAGAGAGAGAGAGACAGATCACCCAGGTATTGGCGATGGTGCGGAAATCCGGGTGGATGACCTTGCTGACATACCATGCAAGGGGTTGGCCTGTCTGAGTTGATAGGGGTTGTAGGGGTTGTCACAAGTTGAAACCTTTTGCAGGGAAACCATGTCGACATTTGCCCTTGGATGGCTAGGTGAACTGCAAAGTTGTCCTGAGCACTTTGTTTTGTTGGATATGCGCTGGGATTTGCTCATGGAAAGGCCCTGCACATGTACAGTGTTTGTGCAGGGTCGTGGAAGGGGTTCATAGAGCGACTCGCAGCCGCATTCATTTTGAGACGCGACGTGAGATTTTGTGCAGCTATGCAGCGCTTGGATGTGTGCTGCATGAATGGCAAGCGAATTCAATCGGCATTGCCGACAACCATCGACAACCTGGCCGTGACCGCAAAGGCGTAAAAGCAGATGTCGCTGGGTACTGTAGTGCAACTGGGCCTATGGTATCCAACGCAAGTGCGGCGACGTTGTCGGGTTGCTAATGCAACAGTTCGAAGTTTAGCATGCCACTGTGAAGGGCGATTTGAAGACATCCACACTTATCACTGGTCACGCTCTGGGAATGGTTTTGGATGGCTGCATCACTATCAAGGTCTTAAACATGAGCATGGAGCAACGCGCCAAATTTTCTCTCAGTCGGGCTCGATGTTGCACATTTGTTCGGTTTGAATCGCATGGTCCAAAAGCTGCACTCTTAGGCTGGAATTGCCCATATTCCGAAGCACTCAAGTCAATCCCCAAAAGTCCTCAAAGGAATACCAGCAAAGAACCAGCGGTCTTATCAGCTTGTATGGGATGAAGGCTTCAGGGCTCGAGCATGCACATGTTTTTTTTGGTTATGTGCTACACTAGTGCGAAGGCAATATGAGGGGATAGGGGATAGGGGGGGAAACCAGTTTTGCGCTGCTTAGGCCATTTGGGGCATTTGAAGAACAGCACTAGCAGCACTGCGCAAGTTGACCTGCCTGTAAGACCCTCGGTCGGTAGCCAAGCGGGAGATGGCAGGTAAGCTTCCAAGCCATTTGGCATCATTTTTGCGCCACCAGCCAGTGGGATCTACTAGTTCTCAGCAATCTGCTGCAGACACTGGAAAGGCTGCAAGGAAGAAAGCTGCTCGGGTGAAGCGAAGGGCAAAGGCAAAGGATGATCGTGCAGCGGATCGGGCGGAAAAGGCAGAACAGAAAAAGCGTCAGAGTGCAGCGGCTGTCACAGAGAAACCCTCGGCAGAAGAGTTCAAGCATGTGCCCAGAAAGAAGGCACTCAAGAAAAAACAGCAAAAAAGGCATGGTGCAAAAGAGTCCAAGAAATCTGCGAAGAAAGCAGTGACAGAGCGCACAGAGACGGAGGTGAAAAGGTCGTTTGACCCAGAAGGAGCAGAAAGAGACGCGGCACTTCTCAGTGATCTTGAAAAGAAATTGGGTCTAGCAGGCAATGACAAGCGCAAGCGAAAGGAAGAGAAGCAGATGTTTGAAGACTTGGGCTTTGATGCTGAAGATTTGGGAATCGAAGAGCTTCCATCATCAGACAACGAAGATGCCCCTAGTCAGACTTCGGAATTGGTGGAATTGAAAGATCAAGACATGATGGGCTTGATTGATTCGATATTGGGCCAATCTGGGGCAACCATGAAGGCCAAAGGTGCCAAGAAACGGCTGAAGCCCCGAGGAAAGGCCAGAGCGTAGTGTCTCAAGACAGTTTCACAGGATATCCCAGCATGAATGGGACCCGCAGCAAAAGGTTACGTACTGTAAATGCTTCCAAAACCATTGAAGGATGAACCAAGAGGAAGTTGTTGACTCCGGCAGAGGGAGTGTGAAACCTTTTACGTATGAGCTAGGACATGGCAGGTTCGCTTGGTTGGCACATTGCGGCTCAAAAAGAGTATATGCAGAGAACAAGTTGATTTATTGCAGACCTACAGGCCAGGCTCAATCCACAAATATGGAGGAAGCTCCGAAAAAAAAACGTAAACCAGCAGCATGCATGTCAACAACTACGGAACTGCACTGCCACACTTTCCTTTTCTGCATTACTGCGGAAACCGAAGCAGATGCCTCCAAAGAGGGGCGATTTCCAGTGCAGCGTTTGCGGTTTTAGATGTCGAGCTGCTCTTAATGAACAATGGGCACCTATGTGACCATTACATTGGCACTTTGGCATCACTTGAGATGGCTATTTTGGACGCCTCCCAGGATATGACTACTTCGGCAAGGAGCCGCCTTTTGATCGTGCAGCTGTGAGGCAAGCCAGATAGCCAACAGCCCTTGAAGTGAGATGGGGTGTGGTTCAACCATTTTTATCTCGTGAGCTGACCCAGATCTACATGACATTGCACTAATGATATATATATATATCGTCCTGTTTTGGATCGTGTCCTGGAGGTGGCTTGAGGACATCTACGCCTTGAAAAATCCGTGCCTTGTTTGAAGCTACGACTCGGATGTCAAGCATGCGTTGAAATTCAGGGAGCAGACTTAGTCATTGAATGTCTTGAGTCGGTCACAACTAAGGTGTCGTGAAGAATACGGAGAGGTGGTCGAACAATTCAAACACTACTTACAAGACAAGACTTATATTTTGGACGCGGGATGGTCTGGAATGCGGTGCAGGTGCAAACCATTTGTTTGGGGGCACTGTGCAGCGTTTGTGCAAGCCCGGTTTGCGTTGATGATCAGTGCTCTTTGCCAAGCCCTTAGACCTTGTCATGACTTTGCTGCAAGAGCTTGCGCACACCCTGCGCCCCTGTGAAGGTTCTACAAAGTTCGCTTTTGCAAGTCATGTGTGCAAGAGGCTGGATGCTCTACACCCCTGTGTGCTTGATTCACGACTTAGCGATCACATGCTGGCACATACGAGCATCTCGACCTACAGAAAGTGCTCAACCCTCGGTGTTGATGATGGGGCTTGCCAGGCCCAAGGTTACTTTCCGCCTGATGTAGCAGAAGGACTCGCAAAAGACCTGCGAAAGCTGACCAATGCGGATAAACACAGCGACGGTGGGACCGCATTTAGTCTGATGTGAATTCGCCATTAACATACTTCAAGCGCAACATGATATGTTGTCTTCAACTCACACTGCAGAATGCTCGATGGGTTTGGCACGTTTGCAGGGCTTGAAGGAGCCTAGTCTTGAGGGGAAGCCATAGCAGTGGGGATGTTCCTGGAGTTTGCCTGAGTGGCCTGCCTGGCATTTGCCATGTCGGGAAACCATCATGGGAGCACTTGGCTGGGTGCCCTGACTTCATACGCTTGTTGACGTGAGCAAGCAGAGATCAGAACCCCGGGCGCGCAGCAGGTACCAGCTGGATCATGCTGACGGATGTGGTGGGCACATCAGCGACTTGTCTGACTATGCTGTTGTGCCGAGCGAAGTAGTGAAAGCCGAGGTGCTCACCTTCGCTGGCGTGGCAAAGTCGCTTGGCTGGGCTACCCTGGCTCGTTTACAATCATCCAAGGTCACAAGGGCCAGAGTCCGACACCACATGCTGTTGACATGCGCTGAGTGTCACGAATACGCTGACACTAAAACGTCAAAATGTATAGCACTATTTCTGTTTGCGCTTGGCTGTGCAGCAGAAGCTGTAATAGGGACAGTACATGTATATGCATCAAACCGTTTGACTCAGTTCTTTGCAGTCCGGGCTTGTAGAGAGATGATTGCGGTACCGTACGAAGCTTGACAGGTGCTCACTATCACATTTATCATCTCTTTGGCACCAGTTGGCGTCTACACGGCCATTTTGATGTCCAGGAGTGCCTAAGATCTTCACAGCGCGTAAAGAGTCATAAAGAGTCGCAGCCGCTGACTTTTACCGGTGAGGACTGGACACGTCACCAAAGAGTCTCAAGGTTGGATCACACTGTACAGTGGCTCCACCGTGGACTGTCAACATTTTAGGGGCCTGGCAGGTCAGAGGCCATCGAGCATGGGCGAGGCCATTGCTTTCGCGCTTTCGTGCTGTGGTCTTGTGTCGAAGGATGTTGAGTTTGTACTCACAGGCGGCTAGGATGACACTTGGTGGCGACAAAGCTGCCATGGCGGTGTATGCCATGGTCTATGGCTTTGCATGGTTAGGTGATTCTGCGCATGGATTATAGATTGTGGTTCATGCTGCAGTCTTCCTTTTTGCTGGCATTGTGACAGGCCAGAGCTCATACATTTTGGTCCTGGGCAAGTGTTTGCAGGCTCTCTTCGAGCACTTGCTTGATGACATTTTGTTTCCCCTTAGCTACTGTGACAGGGCATTCTCTTCCACATTGAGCTATGCTTGCCAATAGCAACAGCTTTGTCCTGCCTGCTATGCCATCGTCTAAGCACTTCTCAAAACAGGGTTTTTTCCAGAAATCAAGCTTCTGTGTCTTCCCAGGTTTGCCCATCGCCGTGTCAGTGAGACACCTCTCAGACTCTGCGCGACCTCCCAGTCCTTTGTGGGATTGGCATGGGTTTGCTAAGTTAGGGCCAGATTTGATGGTTTGCAGGTTCTCTTGTGCTTTATCAATTTGTTCCTCATTTTGGCCGTGCTGACTATCGTTGGCCCTCAGAGATGCGGCGACTGCAGCGCCACAAACGAGTTCATCCAGCCCCATTGCTTGCGGAGGTCATGGCCAAGATGTACTACGTCGGGCCGGGCTTCAACCTTTTCTGCCATTTGCCTCTTCTGTGTCATGCCGCAGCCGGGAAAAGCATGAAGACGTAACTTGTGTGAGCGTGGCCTCTTACGTGCACAATCTCAGCAACTCTTTGTAGACACTCATGTTCTAATCATATATAGTTATATAGTGCCACGTGTGTTGGGGCTGGTGGCCGTTCCTGCACTCGGTCTCCCATAGGGTCATAGGGCTTCACTTTGCACACCCGCAGGCGCCCGGCGCAAGTGAACACCTTTGCCTTCGCTCAGCAGATGTCCTTCGGGAGTGTGCCTGGAAGCATGTGGTAAAGATTGAGAATTGAAAAATATGACGTCGCGACAAGTGTGATGGAATACAACTGAGATGCATTTCAAGATTATGTTTCAGTTAGGGTTTTCTGTAGTGCCTGCGCGCGCTTCCAGCAAGTAGGTTGCAGTTGCAGCATGTTGGCCTGAGTGACATGAGGTATTCGGTGCCGCATCGAATGTGGTCTATTCCTATGCTGGTTGGAT